GCCGCCCTCAGCCCCGGGTGGGGTCTCCGTGCCTGCCACCCTGGCTGGCATGGGCTCTCTGCTCCTCCTCCCAGGTGGATCAGCCGTGGAGGGCACTGGGGCCTTCAGTTTTGTTTTCTGTCAAACCACCTCACACCCCATCTCAGAGTCCCATTCCTCACGGGCTCAGCATCCCCAACTCTGCATCGCTGTGTTGGTTTGCAGTGAGGCTGAGGTACCATCTAGACCCCCCACCGCCCTCACCCAGGCGTCTTTGACCAGCAGCCCCAGGCAATGCAGGAGGGGCTTTCTCTGGGCCCCTGAGCAGGGGAGAGCTGCAAGGGGCCAGGAAGGTCCCGTCTGCCTGTTTTGAGCTCCTGCGGGGCTCAGTCCTGAGACCAAGGCAGAAGAGGACACACACATCCCAACCCCTGGGATCAGAGCTGGAGAGTCAGGGGCTCCTGCAGCTCTTCCAGGATGGCTGAGTGGGGCTGCTGTGTCCCTTGGTGCTCTGGCCTGTCCCTGATTCTGGCAGCTCTGCGTCCTGGCTGCAGGGTTGTGCTCTCTGATCTCGGAGAACCCTGGCAGCCCTTCCCTGCCTCACTTCACGGTGATGCCCAGGGCCCGGCTCACTTTTCCTACCTGCTTTGGTCCCTCAGCCACCGCCGCGGACCTTCCATCTGCCGCCTGGCGCCCCTTGGTTTTGACTGATCCTCTTCCCTCCCTGGGCCTGGCCTCCGGGGTCTGGGATCCTGGGTCCGCACGTCCCTCCCCATGAAGGGCTTCTGCTGGTCAGACTCTTTAAGAGCTGAGTCTCCTGGGCACGCTCTGGGAGCAGAGCGCCCCCTGCTGCTTGTGCTGTCCTGCTCCCTCCAGAACACATTAAACTTGGAATTGTTTTTTCAGCATCCTGGCCTCGGCAGTTTGCTCATTAAACCGAATCTCCCTTTTCTCTTCCCCATCCTGACGCCCACCTCCTGCCTGTTGTATTTCTGGGGACCCCCAGCTTTTTACATGCAGTCATCAGCACCTAGCAGGCACTTGCTAGATCCTAAATTGCTGGGACCAGTCTGGTGACTGGTGCACAGTAGGCGGGAGGCAGGGACTTGCTCTCCTGAGCAGGATTGCAGTGGCCAGGGAAAAGCAGAAAACATGGAGGTAGTGCCTTGGCCCAGGCTCTCTGGTCTGGACAACTGTGTTGGTGTCCTGGGGCTGCCGTGACAACTGCCACAAACTGGGGCAGCTTAAAACAACAGAAATTGATTCTCTCCCAGTTCTGGAGGCCAAAAGCCTAGAATCCAGATGTGGTGGGGCTGTGCTCCCTTCCAAGGCTCTAGGGGAGGATCCTTCCTGTCTCTTCCAGCTTCTGGTGGCCCCTGGCATCCTTGGCTTGTGGCTGCATAAGTCCAGTCTCTGCCTCCATCTTCACGCGGCCTCCACCTCTGTGTGTCTTACATCTCTCTCTCCCGTCTCTTATAAGAACACCAGTCATTGGATTTAGGGCCCACCCTAAATCCAGAATGATCTCCTCTTGAGATCCTTAACTTGATTACATCTGCAAAGACTATTTCTGACTAAAGGTCATATTCACGGGTACTAGAGGGTAGGATTTGAACATATCTTTTGGGGGGACACAATCCAACCCACTACAATGACTTACAGGCTTGAAGACACCATCAACAGCCCCCTTTATGTCCAAGGATGAAGAACAGATGTTTCTTCTTCTCTGTTCCTTGCCAACTGGGTTAGCAGCCAGGCCCTTCTCTGGCTACTAGCGGGCAGTGTGGACTCTGCCCTGCTCCCTTTGGTGCCAGCAGGTTGGCAAACAGCTGGGCTCCTTCCTTTGCTTGGCCCCGGGGTGAGCCCACGTGGTCATGCTCAGCCTTGGGCTGGGGCCAGACTGGAGCAGGTGGACGCTGCAGTGCTGCTGTGTGCGGGACGAAGAGCAGGCCCCCATCTGCACAGAGCTGAGGCCACACAGCGGAGGATGTACTTCCCAGGCAGCTGGGAGTGGGGCCAAGTGCACATCCTGAAAGTGCCCGGGAGGAGTGAGCCAGCCTCACCAGCCACCCACCGACCGCCCTCTCTCCAGGGACAGAGTCATGTGCACTTGTCCCACCAGTGGCCAAGCTACCATGGGGAAGGAGGTGGTGCTTGTTCCAGAGCCCCCTCAGTGCCCCCTTTTTTGCCCCATCTCTTTGAGCCCTCCCCACTTCATCCCCTCCCCACCCCCAGACCTTTTATGCTGGCATTTGCACCCTGCTCATTCCTTCTCCAAATATTTACCTTGTTCCTACTTGGTGGCAGACTATGTGCTGGGCACTGGGGGCACAATGACCAAGAAGATATGGTCCTCGCCTTCCAAAGGACTTGTTAACTATGGTATGACACCCACCCACCGACCGCCCTCTCTCCAGGGACAGAGTCATGTGCACTTGTCCCACCAGTGGCCAAGCTACCATGGGGAAGGAGGTGGTGCTTGTTCCAGAGCCCCCTCAGTGCCCCCTTTTTTGCACCCACCGACTGCCCTCTCTCCGGGGACAGAGTCATGTACACTTGTCCCACCAGTGACCAAGCTACCATGGGGAAGGAGGTGGTGCTTGTTCCAGAGCCCCCTCAGTGCCCCCTTTTTTGCCCCATCTCTTTGAGCCCTCCCCACTTCATCCCCTCCCCACCCCCAGACCTTTTATGCTGGCATTTGCACCCTGCTCATTCCTTCTCCAAATATTTACCTTGTTCCTACTTGGTGGCAGACTATGTGCTGGGCACTGGGGGCACAATGACCAAGAAGATATGGTCCTCGCCTTCCAAAGGACTTGTTAACTATGGTATGACACAGATGCCAGCCTTTGTGGAAGACTTGGTACCACTTACCTGCTCCATCCAACTTCCTCCCCAGGCAGTTTACTCTCATAGGGCCCTTTCCCTGTTTCCTGCCTCCAGCCGGTAAGAAAAGATCTGGTAAAGTCAGTTGCAATACAAATGTTTGTATCTTAGCAAAAGGACTTAGAAACAGCTGATGACTCAGCCAAAAGGAAGATTTGCTTATGGCAGGACTTTCAGGAGTCTTCATTGCTAGGGAGTGGGGCGAGGAGGATACTCCCCACCCTATTCCTCAGGGGTAATTTCTATATGGTTCGCTATGGGAACACAATAGCATGATGGCAAGCTGGTTTTATCGGGCCATAGTAACTGGGACAACATGAGACATTCTTGTCCAGATCGTGGAAAACAAACAAACAAAACACCAGAAGGTTATAGAAAATAATAAATGAAACAAGATGCCTCCACATGCAAAAGCATGGAGTTGGACCCCTACCTCACATCACATACAAAAATTAACTCAAGATGGGTCAAGGACCTAAATACAAGAGTCAAAACTGTAAGATTCTTAGAAGAAAACCTGGATGTAAATCTCCATGACCTTGAATTAGGCAATGGTTTCTTAGATATGACACCCAAAGCACAAACAACAAATGAAAAAAACAATAGACAAATTGGATGTCATCAAAAGTTAAAACTTCTGGGCTTCAAAAAACACCATCAAGAGAATGAAAAGACAATTCAGAATGGGAAAAAATATTTGCAAATCATAGCTGATAAGGGACTTGTATCTAAGATCTAGAAAGAACTCTTGCAAGTCAATAAAGCAACAATCGAATGAAAATGAATAAACATTTCTCCAAAGAAGATGCACATAGTCAGTACACACAAACAGATGCTTAGTGTCAGCCATCAGGGAAACACAAGTCAAAACCACAGTGAGATACAACTTCACAATAAATAGGCTGGCTGCAATCAAGCAGATGGGTGATAACCAGTGCTGGTGAGGCTGCGGAAGAACTGGAACCCTCAGCCACCGCTGTCAGGAATGTGAAATGCTGCAAGGCCGGCCCGTGGCTCACTCGGGAGAGTGCGGTGCTGATAACACCAAGGCCACGGGTTACTGTCAGGAATGTGAAATGCTGCAAGGCCGGCCCGTGGCTCACTCGGTAGAGTGTGGTGCTGATAACACCAAGGCCACGGGTTCAGATCCTATATAGGGATGGCCGGTTTGCTCGCTAGCTGAGCGTGGTGCTGACAACACCAAGCCAAGGGTTGAGATCCCCTTACCGGTCATCTTTAAAAAAAAAAAAAGCAGTGTGAAATGCTGCAGCCTCTTTGGAAAATGGTCTGGCAATTCCTCAAAATGTTCAACGCAGAGCTACTGCGGACCCAACACTCCCACTTCTAGGTATATACCCCCCTCCAAATGAAAGTATATGTCCATACAAAAACTTGTAGATGGATGTTCATGGCAGCATCATTCATAATAATAGAAAGATAGATACAACCCAAATGTCTATCCGCTTATGAATGGATACACAAAATGTGGTATACCCATACAATGGAATATGATTCAGCAATGAAAAGGAATGAAGTACTGACATGTACCACAATGCGGATAAACTTCAAAAACATTATCCTAAGGGAAAGAAGCCAGACACGAAAGACCATGTATATGATTCTATTTATGTGAAATGTGTAGAATGGGCAAATGTATAGAGGCAGAAAGCAGATTAGGGGTTTCTAGGGGCTGGGGGTGGGGAGAATGGGGGAAATGGGGAGTGACTGCTAATGGGGTTTCTTTTGGAAGTGATGAAAATGTTCTAAAATTGATTGTGGTTGTGGCTGCACAATTCTAAAAACTATACAAAAAACCATGGGACTGTACATTCCAAATGGGTGAAT